CAAAAAAAAAAATGGCTGATCGATAGGTGCGAAACTCGAAACTAATAATTTAACAATCCGGTGTTACGCCATGGAGCTCAACGCTCCACCGCTTTGAAATCGCGTACCTAATGTTAATTGTATACCTATTTCGTCCTATCTCGCAAGCCTGGGACGCCTACCTATTATATATATATATATATACACATATATATATATATAGTATTATACTATGTGTAAAAGAAAAAAGAAAAAAAAAAGTAAAAGAAAAAAAAAACGCCCGACTTCATCCCTCATAAGAACATATCCATGTATATGTATTACGAAAGCGTTACCGATATATTGTATTATACGACATATTATACGTGTATAATTGAGAAACTGAACGCGATGTTGATTGTAAATGTTAAAAATAAACAGTGTATAAAAACACAACAAATTTCTCGACTTTTTGTTATTCTTAAAAGATCAAATTACCTCGAAGTAAATAAATAATTTGCACGTAAAAAAAAATTCGCATCGTTCTGATAAAAATTAATTAAATCGTAGAGATATAAATATAAGCCAAAGTTCGGTTGGATTTGAATATCTTTGATGTTCAAAAAAAAGAAAAAAAAAAAAAAAAAAAAAAAGGATATCTTAATTGTTAAACTTGACTTCTTTCTTTATCAAAAATTAAATTAAATATCGATGTATCGGGGATTATTTAATGGATTCCAAGAAAGGAATGGCAAAATAGGTCAGGACACACGTTGTAATTCCATCGAATCGACGTAAGGGGACGTAAGTTGTGATATTGATAGGTGTTTTTAGCCGGGTTACGACAGAAATAGGAAGAGCTCTCACTTATTCATGCCTTCCCGGTATTCGAGTTAGGGGAATCGATAAATCGACCACACCGAACGTATACAGCTCCCCCTCCTCCCCCAACCAACTTGACGAGAAGTTGGAATCGTCTTATAGACAATTCCTCCCTTGTGTTCGTCCCCTGTGTAGCTGTAAAAAAAAAAAAGAAAAAAAAGAAAAAGAAAAAAAGAAAGGGTAGGCGACGAATATCCATCCAACGATTGTTATTTTTTTTCAGCGTAGCGGCTTTATTATTAGTACAAAAAGCATTTATTTTTACAAAATAAATAAGTTACATAGGCTCTGAAGAACGAAGGAACGAACTTTTAACTCCACCTTTTTCGAAGGTAATCGCGCCTTTCCAATTCGCTCCTTTCGTTTCGATGGAAAATTTATTATTATTATTATTATTATTATTATTATCATCATCATTATTATTATTAGCAGACGATTTTCCTTAAAAAAGCAATTAGGAAAGAAAGGCAATTATGATTCCTCCCTCTTTCGTTTTTCACTTTCAGGAATATCAGGCCGCATCATCGATACACATTTGAGAGGTTGTTTTACAGAATGGGGGGAGGGTGGGGGGCGGTCTTCATCGCTGTTCAAACTGTTCAAACTTTTAACATTAGCGGATTTCCTGGATGCTTGTTGGGCGGGGTAGGGGGGAGGTTCGGATGATTTTTGATCCGCGCGAAATCCACCTTCGATCCGTTCCCCATTCGTTTCATCGACGGTTGCCCCGTCAATCCGGAAGCAGAGCTCGACGAACTGGATGGTGGGTGGGGGGGTGGAGGATGTCGAATTTTTCTCGTCTCGAGGGGCGGTGAAACACGGTCGAAGGTGGTCGGGCGGGGTGAAGACTCTTCGCGATTAATATTGGTAACCACCGTTGCTAGCGTAGCTTTGACCACCTCCGCCTCCGGAGTAGCCACCATTTCCTCCGGAGTAGCCGCCCCCGCCACCTCCAGAGTAGCCACCTCCGCCACCTCCAGAGTAACCACCTCCGCCTCCTCCAGAGTAACCACCTCCGCCTCCTCCAGAGTAGCCACCTCCGCCTGAGTAGCCGCCATTGCCCCCGGAATATCCACCTCCGTTACCGCCTCCGGAATAGCCACCGTTTCCTCCAGAGTAGCCACCACCGCCGCCTCCAGAGTAGCCATTTCCACCTCCAGAGTATCCACCTCCGCCTCCAGAATATCCACCGGAGCTGAAAGAGAAAATCGTGATTACAACGAATTTTGAAACGATATCATATCGCGTATTTATCGTATTACGTATCCTCGACAGGTAGAGTTATAATGGAAGAGATGGGAGATAGAGATATGAAGAAGAGAATCGTAATCGTTTCAACGAGTAAATTGATTATTATCGTGTACTTATTATTTCTTAAATGGGTAAGAAAGTATAATGGAAGAGATATAGAAATGCTCGAATAAAATTATAGATGTGGATTGTAGATATTTCTCTTTCTCCTTTCCTTAATCCTAGAAAGACCGAGTAGAGAGATTGTATGCGATAAGTAGAGAAAGAAGAAATAGAAAAAAGAGATAACTAATCTTCTACAATTAAACCATATTATTCAATACCAATTATGACCAATCAACGTATCCACATATCTATTCCTTCTTTCACGTTTCATCTATTCTTTCTTTAACCAAGAAATACCTGTGCTGTGCTCTGAATTCCTTAAATCTACGGAAAAGGAGGAAGGAAAGAAAAAAAAAAAAGTCATAGATCCTTTACCCTCCGAAACTGCCACCACCGGTGCTAGGTGTACCGTAAGCGGAAGATGGTCTCGAGTATCCACCGCCACCGCCTCCTCCGTTGGGTGCACCGTAGGTGGTGGACGGGCCACCACCGCCTCCCCCGGTGGGTGCACCGTAGCTCGAGGATATCGAGCCGCCACCACCGCGCGAGGGTGCGCCATAGCTGGTGGAAAGCCCGTTACCGCCGCCAAAGCCACCGCCACCGCCGCCTCCGAAGGAAGGGGCGCCATAGTTGGTGGACGGCCTTCCACCGCCGTTCGACGGTGCGCCGTAAGTGCTCGACGGTGCACCGTAGCTGCTCGACGGTGCACCGTAACTGCTCGACGGCCTGCCGCCCCCGTTGGACGGTGCCCCGTAGGTGCTCGACGGCCTTCCACCGCCGTTCGACGGCGCGCCGTAAGTGCTCGACGGCGCTCCATACGTGCTGGACGGTGCTCCGTAGCTAGAGGATGGACGACCACCGCCGCCCCCCGACGGGGCACCGTAGGTGGAGGATGGACCTCCACCGCCTAAGTTCGGTGTCCCATAACTCGTTGACGGTGGTAGGTAACTACCGGATATTGGCGCTGTAAATACGTACGTTAACGTAAGGTTTCAGGTGTTATAAGGATAATTTTTAATTGGATAATTTCATATTTCAGAACGATGTTATTATTTAAGATTAATGAAATCTTGAGCTTTTATATTGGATCGAATTTTAATCTGGTTAGAAAGTTAAATAGAGAGGTAAATAATTTCGATTCGAATAAACGAAATTTAGGAAGGAAGTGGGAAAAGGGATCCATATTTCTCACGAAATATTTTCCCTCGAGTTTTCTTTTTACGTATATATCTGCAGTAAAATTAGCTCGTGGACGAGTTTGTCTGTACTGGCTGTGCGCAATGCTTAACAAGATCATGACTCTCCTTTTTGTCCTTGTATTCATTATTAGTCGGTGAAAGTGTGGGAGATGGCCAAATGACATTGTCTTCAGGACATTATCCGTCCCGTGAGACCGTAGTTTACGACTTCACACAGTGTTTTCTAAACTCATCTCGTACAACGTTCTCGACAAATTTGCTGAGATGTCACTATCTTTTGAAATTGCCGGGGTCAAGAGCCACGATCCGTTCGCATTGTCTTTAATCAAGTTCGTGACTGATCTCCCCATTCTCTTCTTTCTTTGTTCTATTGCCGGAAAGAATATTTGTAATTGAATATTCAAGGTTCTCTTAATGACTTATTTCGCTATTTAAGAACCACAAATTCTCTTTCAAGATGAATATAATGAAACGATGAAAAGACGAAAATGACAATTTCCAATACGCTTTCTTTAGAGTAATTGCAAAATGTTTAATTCTACTTTTAAACACAAAGTTGTCGTTTTTTCTCCTTCGTTCCTTCCAATTTATTTTCAAATTTATTTTCTCTGTTAAATATATTCTTTGTTGCGATCAAAATTAGAAAAAATGCCTTGCCTCATTTCTCTCTCTATACTTTGATTGTGTATTTCGTAATTTTTCATTTTTATTGCGTAACCATACAATATATCGTATCGTAATTCCTTACGTAAAACGTAAATTTTAATAGGTAATTAAGCAAAACGCGGAAATACTTAAGCGGCGTGGTTCATTAAAGATAATTCTTAATTTTCCTAAAATAAAGTATAGATTACAACACAATCGTAATTAGATCGTAACGATTTCCATCACGGAAACGAGCCTACCTTCGCGTAATATTTTTTAATTACACGCTTATTAAAATATGAAAATGAACGTTTTTCGAACAATTTCGATTTTTTTGCAGAAGCCTATTATAAAAATATAATAAGAATAATATATAATTTTTTTCTATTACAAAATCATTCTTCTTTTATATATATATATATAAAAAAAAAAGGAATAAAAATACGCAAAAATTAAGGATTATACAGAATCGGTTTAAATTCAGCAGCTATAAGTAGAAAATGTGTGTCAGATCACGAGATATCGGTTCGATTTGCACACTGTCCGCTATTCCGAGCGAAGGAACGTATCGATAATTCACGGCGTCTCATCGTTTGAATATTTCATTCCCGATTCCTCCAAGTGATCGCCATTTCTATTCTTTCTTTCTCTCTCTCTCTCTCTCGCTTTTTCCGATTTTTCAATCCTTCGTTCGCCAACATCGTCCACCGACATCGAGGATCCACTAGGAGAAATTTACCATGGCGTGAAATTCATCTTTCACTTCGATTCAATCGGATACAGAGTGATAGTGCTATGATGGTTGGAGCATCATAGTATCACGTGCGAATACTTTCAATTTTTTTTGACACTTTCTATCTTTCGTTTTTTTTTTTCTTTTTTTTTTTCATGACTCTCCACTTTCTACGTATTTCTTTCTGATTACAAGAAATTCTTTCAAGTATCGAACTCAATTATATCTCGTACTTTCCCCTATGTAATTTTTCATCAATTTCTCCTTTTATCGAGAGCAAGAGAAACAGGACGAGATTACTTCACAATGTAAAGCTGTGCAACGAAGTTTTCATCGATTCATCGAAATCCTCAATCGAACTTTTATTATTTGAAAACGTAAGACAAACAAGTGAACCGATATATAATTCGAACAATCCAATTATTACATTGCGGATATTTATTTATGTCATGCAGAAGTGCAGGCGACAATTTTGTTCATAAAAAACTTCATTCTGCCTAACTGTTATTAATCATATCAGTGTTAAGAGAACCCAAAATCTTGATAAAAAAAATTAATCGTCCCATTTTCACGTCCCTCCCAAAAACTAACACTCTCCCAAATTCCCAAATTCTTACCCTCGGCGTGGATAGGCTGCAAGAGCAGGGCCGTAGCGAGTACGGTCGCTGCGAGGGGGGCCCAGCACTTCCCGGGCCTCATGATCCCCGACGATGAAGCAAAGTCTCTCTCTCCCTTTTTCCTCAACTTCGTGGCCGATTCACATGCACGAACCCTCTCGAGGGTAACACCTGGCGTGTTCTTTTTTTAATCACGTGTTTGTTATATCTGCGTACGAAACGGAAATCAACTCTGTGACAGAATTGGTAGCGCGGATGAGATGCGGAGGCCTTCCCGGCGCATCCGTGAGATTTCGTCTAACGTGCTTCAAACATCGCCGATCTCGCTTATATAGTTAACCAGTCTTTCGGAGAAAGTCCTCGCGGGAGTGTAAGTGGATGCTCACCAGGTAGGCAAAGCGTGGTTCTTGGTGAACGTTGGTGCTCGAGCGTGGGGTGAAAGACACGGGGAGGGGGGGCTGGGGAGGAGGGGGTAGTAGTAGAAGAAGAAGAAGAAGAAGAAGAAGAGGAGGAGGAGGAGGAGGAGGAGGAGGAGGAAGAGGAGGAGACGCGTGGTCGTTGACGGGATCGCTTCTTCGGTTGACCCTGGTCAGGTTGTCCTTCTTTTTTTTTTTTTCGAAGCAGGTTTGCAGGTTCTTTTCCTTTTCTTTTTTTCTCTTTTATTCTTTAACCTTCCTTTTCAATCCTTTCTCGACGAACGTCACGGAACACGTTCATAGCTCTCTAAGTTATGATGAATAGCCGCAGATACGGCCTTGATGTCACGGCTGATGGAAGAGCGACCAGATGAGAGATGATGATGGTAACGATCACCCGAGGCGCGGACATGCATGCATACTCATCGGTTAGTTTGATGTTTCGCCATTTTATATAAAATATTTACGTGGATCGTTCAACTTTTAATTTGATATTATTTTGGCGCTGATTGTATTCGTTGGAGTTTTCAACGATGGGGATGCTCCTTTCCATCGTTGCGAGAATAATTTTTAGTTTTCTTTTCCCCAGAGGGGAAAATTTTACTTTTTGGAAATTGGGAAGTTTCTAGGAAAATAAAAAAGTGATAATGATATTTTTAATCCTCGTATTCTGCATGTTTTTTGAAATTTAGAACAGTTCTGATTTTTTTATTTTTTAGAGAAAAGAAATAGGTATAGAATGAATATGCATATTTTGTATGTTTAAATTTGATGGGAATGAAGATATATTGTTAGAGGATGAATGAAGATTCTAAAAAAAAAAGAAAAGAAAAAAAAATACACGGCATATTTTGCATATTTACATTTACAATTTTACTTTTTTAGAAAAATTTAGAATAATTTGGCCAACAATTTTTTATTCCTCTAAAATAGAAAATTAAAGAAAGGAGATATAGATAATATAATTTGCATATTTAAATTTGGAACAAGTGAAAATATATAGAGCGAGATTCGATCAACATGTCATTGCCCTTAGTTTTCGATCTTATTGCATTCAGAACGCGGTTTTAATTCTTGTTCTTGTTGGTCAAATTTTAGACACTCGTTTATTATAATCGTGATTCGAATACGCCAAAAGTTCTTGCGCGTTGGACTATCGAGTAGGAAAGTAGTTGCATTCTTAATAGAACGCTCTGTGCATTTTGAATTATAAGTAGATTGACCAACATGACAGTACCAGTATCAGACATTGCAGGAAATTATTATTACATATATTATTATCATCGAATTCTTGTTTCAATTTTGTTAAAAAATCTTTTTCGTTATCTGATACACGATAATTGTGATATAATAATATTATAAGCAATGCGAATAGTATAAGTAGTTATATATCCTTTACACGAAACCCTTTACGCTTGAAGAATTGTACGACTTGTTACGTTATTTCACTTTATAAAGCTTTATCATTAATGATTTCTTCAAAACGATTGTTTTCTAAGAATATATAAATTTTTATTCAAATTTATTTATTAAAATTTAAAATTTCAATTGCTTAATTAAAATAATACATTTAAAAAACGTGTATTTATATGATTATCAGATTACAAAAGTTTGTAGAAAATTTATAAAATGCACATGATACGCAAAAAAAAAACATTATTTTCATATAAATTTTAATTTGCGTAAACATCCATTACGCGTATATTTATGCGCATAAACGCTATCCTTGCACTAATATTTTATTTTATTTACTCTTACTAATTAATTCAATTTATTAATTAATTTATTAAATCTACGTAAGCTATAACAACATCCATCCATAAATAACGATAATGTACAATGTGAAAAAAAAAAAAAATATCACAATATATAGGCATAGAACATGAATTTTCGTTTTACTTAACAAACACGATCGATTTACGGAAAGTTATTATAGATGGCACTGCCAGTTCATTTCGAACTCGTTTTGAACAAATTCGGATATATTTGAAACGATGTACGAAAATATTATCATTCGCAAAATAAAAATTTTTTAAAAATTACAAAATCGATACACGATTGATGTAAATATCAAATTGGCAGATATCGAGTTACACCATATTTTTTTTTTCTTTTTTTTTGCGCAACCGCTTGAAAAGGTTTGTCGAAAGTCTCAGTCCCGGCTTTAAATTAGGATTAAGAACTGGCTGCATGGGTGAGCACGATTAATGTTGCTACTTAAGCAAGCACTTGTCCGGAACACGTTTCGCTCTGACCCATTGCGATATACGGAGCACGGATGACGATGATTTCTAGGCCGAGGACACGATCTGTCTACACGAAGCTGTTCGAAAAAGGAGAAGAAGAAGGAGAAGAAGAAGAAGAAAAAGAAGAAGGAAGAAACGATGATGTGTCGGGGGATATACAGACGCCTCGTCTGGAGATGCTTGCAAATCGACGTATTATTGCCAGTTGCTCGTTTCGTTACCCTCTTACTCGATCCTCTTGCGCTCGATGATCTACGACGGCCGATTGCATCTGCTTTCGCGCAAATTTATTTCGCCTGGTTAGACGCTGCAAATTGGACGAACGATATGATGCATCGATTTCTTCGCCATTCTATCGCGTTTCGTTTCGAACGGAATTTTTGCCTTCATTTTTGGAGAAGAAATGGACAGATTCATTTCTTGATTTTTATGTGTAAAAATTTTTACTTTATCGAAATTTGTAAAAGGAAAAATCAAGCGATTTTTGTATTTTAATAAGAGAAATCAGATAATATTGTTACGCTTAAGCGTTCTGAATATTAGAAAGATTATTAAAGATCATTTGGAATATTTGGGATTCATAAGGAAAGGAAGAATTTGAGATATTTTATTATATGTGTTGTTATTATTATTCATGTAAAACGGAATAATGTTTTAATTATGATATATATCGAAAATTTCAATATATCTTTTCCATATCCATAAAACGATTACTTAATAAATTGTTTTACATGCTTGTTATTTGACCTAATCTAACCTAAACAAATTCCAAATTTGATAAATTAAAATGTCATATCAACACGATAATTTATATCATTATCATGCAAAATATATTATAATCTCTATCGTATAACTATTTCTTTCTTAATTTTTCTTCAAATTGCTGAAAACTACCCTCCCAAGAAAGAATAAATTCTTCCAATTTTTATCTTCTTCTATTCTCTATTTCCTTTTTCGTTGGAACTAAAACACAGAGAATCACAAAATATGTATGGATAAAACCAAATATGGTTTCCTTCGAGCTACATACGTTCCAAGTATATGATCCCTTTTGGCTTTTTTCTCGCCTTTCCTCCCCCTTTTCTCGCCGATATAAAACGCGATGTTCGCGAAATACACTTAACACGCGCTCACTGATTGCTGAAAGAACATTGCTAAATCGACGATTTATTATTGCTCGTGTAGCAATAACGTAGCCAATGCACCACGGTGTACCACGGTTGCTGGGATGCACCCGCTATGACAACGTTGCGGTAATATGAATTGTTGGCCCAGATTCGTTGGTGCGTTTATCGCCGAGTGTAGCATTGATTGGAGCCGTTGCAACAGCGGCTGCGTAACGAAAATATCAAACCGTTCCACATTTAGCTCTCTCGTCTGCCTTTAAATCGATAAGATCTCTCGCGAGATGAACGAGAGCTTTCGGCTTTTCTTCGTTCAAGTCTTTATCGAAAATATCCCGACGACAAAAATCAATATTTTATTTAAAGGAATGAAATGTGACGAATTTGTTTGGAGGATGCAAGAGGAAATCAATGGTTTCAGAATGATGACAGAAGTTGCTCTTATTTATTTTATTCTTATTTTATTCTCATTTCAGAATTTCACGATGATTGGTAAGATTGGTTGGAAGTTGTTCGAATTGGACGAATTTACGATATATAAAATAAATAAAAGAAATATATTTAAAAAAATTGCATTGTACGCGATAAAAGAATTAATTAAATCGATTTTGTGGGATTTTGGATTTTGAAATGTCATATATCATTTAAAAAAAAAATTATACCTTTTAAAACAATCAAAAATATTAAACTATTGATTTAAACGTACAAAAATAACGTGCAAATGGACACATTGATATCCAAAGAATAAGGCAATTCTCTATTTAAACTTCTAAAAATTCCTATCAACATTTCAAACAAAATTTCAACATAATTTCAAATTAATTAATATAACATCACGTATAATTATATGCAACAATTAATGAAACAAAAATACCAATCGTTATTGCTGATCTTCTTCAACTACAATAATTCCATCATCCGTATATCCGTGATCGAACGACTTTAATCACCTTTTAATTCCAGTGGAAAAAGAAGCCACCGAATTTATCGAAACGCCGCCGCTGTTGCTCACCAGGTAAACCGATTTGCATATTCGGGACAATGGCGCCAGCCATAATGGAAGAGGGGGTGAGGGAGAGAGGAGGGGAGGGCGATTGTTGGAGGAAAAGACGAGGGAGCCGTGTTCGCCGTGTTCCCGTTTTCGGCCGCGATCCGCGATTTCCATAACGCCATGACGGGGTCCCCGGGTTGCGGAGTGGATGGAAAGGAGGATAGACAGATAGATCTCATCCAGCGGGGTAGGAAAAAGCGAAAGTCGTGGCGGGCCAATCAGAGGCGGCGAGGCAGGCGAGCATT